AATTAATTCAAATTGAAAATTAGACGACGACTTATATTATTAATTAATGACGACATGTATATTGGGAATTTGACAAATTCGATGGGCTAAGATTCAACTTTGACATCTTAAATTCGTAAATAGATATATACGTTATAATAAAACGTGTAGTATATATATGAAACATTTGGCAAGTCCTAAAGCGACGGTTAATTTGATCGTTTCAGAGTCTTGAAATGAATTTCATTTCAATCAAATCAATCATAATCGTTGTACCATTCGCTATACCTTATATAATAGATGGTAAATTATATATTTCGGTCATCTATCTCTTCTTATGTTTATTTTTGGCTATTTTTTCTATTTTTTATGTTTGTATTTTAGTCATTAAGGGAGATGTTTAATAAGCAAAAGAGCCTAGGTTTCATCCTTCCGATGGTTAATTTACAATTCTTTTATTTTAACTTTTATTCGGAGATATAAACGGGGAAATTAAGGGCTTACTCCTCCAAAAAGCAAAATTCACTTTAGAATTTTCAAAAACCAGGATTTAACCCTTCAGAACTAGGGGTGTTCACGGTCTGTTTGGATCGATTTTTGGCTAAAAATTCATCCGATCTGAAAGTATAAATGTTTGCGGTTTGGATCAATTTGAATGTTTATAAAAAAATCCGATCCGATCCAATTAAGTGTGACTTGATTCGGTTTAGATTTGTGCGGTTTTTGAATTCTAATTTTTCAAAATAATTCAAAGCAATAACACTGCCAGCATATTGTTCAAATTATAAACCCCAAATACACTACTAAAAGTTGTGCAATTGTTCAAATTCAAAGCATTCTAGAACAACAACCCAAGCCACAAGCATTCATATTTAGGGGTGAAACCAAGAGGAACTTTTCGGTTATTAACGAAGTGGCCTTGAACACCGTTACACCGCTGCTATTATGGTGGGAATATGCCGTTCTTACTTTTATTTTATTTATTCTTCCCTGCCGGTTCTTGTTTCAAGTTTTAGTCACGTTAATATTAAGGAAAACAACGGGAATATGCAATTCATTGTAAGAGACTATCGATTCGGTTCGGTTTGGATCGGTTCCGGATTTCCAAACCGAAACCGAACCGAACCTATCGGTTTTTAAAGAAAAACCAAACACGCTAAATCGGTTTCGGTTTTTTTCGGTTATCGGTTTTGGATCGATTTTCAGTTATTTTTTTTTGGATCGGATTGGATATGAACACCATTATTCCGAACATTTTCTTAAATTTCCAAAACTAAATAAATTCAAGATTCAATCGGTGAAACAATACTTTCAAGCCCAATTTCGGGACGTTAAAACATTTTGTCCGAAAATAAAACATTAAAAGCTAAACTGCTTAGAAAAGGAGTCAAAATGATTATTCAATCAAACATCGAAAGTTAATTTTAGCATTATGCCTTCACAAAATATAAGATTATCGTACTGTAAGATTATTTAATACACTAATCAACTGTGTTGAATTATCATATTTGGTTTACTTAACTGGGATGTAAAAATTTTCTTCAAAGAATTTAATTCTTCATTTAACGGTTTATAACACAATATAATTCCAACAGAACATTAGACCATGAACATTTATTACGCTGTTAGATTATATTAATCCAGTGATTGAAATAGGATACGATGTTATAGGGGTGATTTGTCAAACGTTAAAATTGATAAGAATTTTATTAGTATGTAAACATGTTCTAGAGATTAATTGTTTAATTTCAAAATTGATAGCGACCGAATAAATATTTAAACCAAGAACAACGAGTCAAAGTTTAATTTATCTAATTTTAAAACCAATAAAGACTTAAATATATATTTTTTTCGTCGAGGAAAGAAACTAAACAATAAAGACTTAAATATATTAATGCCCAAAAATTTATGATTGAAACTTAATTTCATTAGTTCCAAAACTTAAAAAATACTTGAAATATAGTTTAAAAAAATTAGAGGATTTCACGGTACAAATAGTATATATAAAATTTTATTAGAATACTTTGAAATATAGTTAAACTCAAAAACTGAGAGGCTAAGACTCCTTCATCACACCATACAGATTCAACTTTCAACCCTACATAAATCTGCTTTATAATCTAAATTTCACATTACAAATAGTGTGTATATATAATATTTTATTAGAGTTCTTTTAATATTTATAGTGAAAAAATAAATAATTTTTTTATTAGCATCTATCTCTTTCTTTAAATTATATTTTGAAAAGTTTTGTATATATTATATGCTAATCCTCTATTTGAAGTATAATGATTTCTATATTAAATTACTGTTTAATATTTAAACTATCAATTTTAGTCCGTTTTAGTGTTTAAACTTTTAATTTTTTTTAAAATCATACCTAACGTTTAGTCTTTATTTTTATTTTAGTACCCGTCGTTAAAATTTTAATGGAACTGTTATAACTTGGCTCTTTTTTATGGGTCAATTATATCATTCATCCCTTAACTATCTTCTCACTCCTATTTTGGTCGTTGAAGTTTAATTTTTTTTTTCAATTTAATTACTTAACTTTCAAATTACTCCTAATTTAATCACTCTAACTTTCTTTAATTTTTTATTAATATAAAAATAAAAATGTCACAAAATATTATTAATAAAATAAATTAGAGTGATTAAAACATGAGCAATTTAAAAGTTGAGTATTTAAATTAAATTTTTAAATGACCAAAATATGAGTGAGAAGATAGTTAAGGGATGAATGATGTAATTTACCCATGAAAAATGTCACATACAAAAGTTTTGTTAAATTTTTAAGGGTACTAAAATGAAACAAAAACTAAATGTTAGGTATGGTTTTGAAAAGATTGAAAGTTTAGGTAATAGAATGGAATAAAACTAATACTTTATGTACTAAATGCATCGTTTACCCTAATTTTTATTTAATTGTTATGAAAACAATATACTAGGAAAAAAATAAAAAATATTACTCAAAACTATATTTGATTACGCATAAAACTATTTTAAGAACAAAAAGGGTCTAAACACATTGTCTTACTAAAAATAATTTATTAAAACGGTCAGTTTGACATTGTAACCTCAGTGATGGCTTTCTATATTAAAACAAAACTATTCTGAAGAGCAAAATTGTCCCACAAATTGAGGGAAAAGAGAGATTGAGTTGGTAGGGTCAAATAAAACAAAAATAGTTCAACTTCCCCTTCATTTAATTGGGAATTCACTTCCCTTTGTGTTGTGCCTTTATAAAGCTTTTATGAGTCATAAATCATAATCTTAGATTGCTATCCAAGAAACCTCGTTTATTTGAATTCTCCTCTCGTTTCCCATAAACTCTTTCAACCACTACTTTTCTATTTTTATTATACAAACTTTTATATGAAATGTCCTTTTACATTTTTATTTAACATTGTTGTCTCAGTTTATTATACAGCTTTTTTATATTACTCCTACATTATTTACATTCATTTTATTTACAAGTATGTCCGATTCCACGTTTTCATGTATAATATATCAATCGAATTATGTTTACTTCAATTTTATTATCAAGATTTTAATAAATTTATGGATTTTTATATTTTAAAATATGATGGACAGTTTTGTATTGGTAAACAACATTATTTCTAATCAAGGAACTTAATACGTATTCAAGCACGCCGCATATGTACACAATTTAACATATAATAATACGTGTAAATTATAAATTTTACTATTTAAATTTCTTCTTATTTCTATTTTGTTTTTTTTTTCATTTTATTATTGAATTTTCTATTTATTCTTATTTTATTTATTTTGTCTTTGGACATTTTAAAGATTTTAGGATTGAACATCTGAGTTTTAAAATTTATGAAATGATATCATAATTTTCTTTATTTTTTTATTAAAAAGATCTTAGTTTTATATTCTCTCTGATTTCTTTCAAATCTCAATTATAAAGGGATAAAAAAAGATAATTTTCTTTATTTTTTATGAAAAAAAAATCTTAGTTCTATGTTTCTTTCAAATCTCAATTGTAAAGGGATAGAAAAGAAGATAGTGAGCTATATATCTTGATTCTATGTTAATTGAATAATGAATATTATAGATTGAAGTGATTTGAGACTTTGCAAATTTTAGATTTTGACTCGAGTTTTATGAATTTTAGGGTTGTTTGTTTACTTCAGAATGATTAAGCGCTGAATGATTCAATGACCTGAATGAATCAGAGGCTCTGTATGAATTAGCTTTGAATATGACATGTTGTTTGATAATGGTTCTAAATCATTCAGAATGTACTTTGATGCTGAATCATTCAGTACTGTTTTGCTGAATCATTCAATACAGTCTTCATTCAGAGGTTAGAAACAAACACACTGAATGTTGAACGGTTCAACATTCAACGCTGAATGATTCCCTTCATAACCAAACAAACATCCCTTTAATGTAATTTGGAAAAAAAAGGATAATAGGGGACACGAGATGAATTCATTAGTGTCTTGAGTTGTTATAAAAAAAATGAAGAATAGTGATTTTGACTTCAATATGACAGGGTTAAAACTGTAAAACATTAATCTTTTAAAAAGGAGATAAAATGAAAATAACGTAACATCTGTGTGATCAAAATAAAAATAAATAAAAAGTTTAATGATTGAACTAAAAATTTATAAACGTTAATGAACAAAACAAGAATGAGATCAAAGTTTAAGAGTGAAATTTATAATTTATCTTAATAATAATAGTGAAAAATGCAATAACCAGTTTATCTAGTGAGATAAGACATTAGGTCCCTTAAACAAGGTCAGATGTTCGAATCTTAGCGTTTGTGAATAGATCAAACTGGGTTGGGAGAGTTGCCCTCGCCTTTACAGTACCCGATCTAGATTAGTGGGTCAATAAATCGGATACCAGTGATCAATTAAAAAAATAATTTTAAAATAAATATAAAGAAAATATAAGTAGGCAACATTAACGTAATCCATGTCGTGTTGAATATTTTCCCGTCTCTGTTTCCTTTTAAGCCTTCTCTCTCAAACTATGTCCTCTATGTACTCAAACACAAAATCATGCCTCCTAAATCCTTCTCTCCGAATGATCTTCCTCCTTGTTTTCAAGTTTTCCGCTAAACCCCAATTCCCCTGCCTTTTCTTTCCAAATTCCCCTTCTTTATTTTAGTTTACAGAGAAATAATTTTGTTAAAAGAAGAACAAAGACATTAGACAGTGCTACAGTTCTGTAAGAGAAGGAAGGGGAAAATGGCGGCGATTTTTCCCGCCTGGATTATGATAGCGGCTTTCCTTTTAGAGGCGGCGTTAGTTATGTGTGGTTTTCCTTCAACTTTGCAGCTGGAGAGAAGGATTCCCCTGGCGAGTCATGAACTCGAACTGAGTCAACTCAGAGAGCGTGATAGACTCAGGCATGGAAGGTTGCTGCAGTCTTCCTCTGGTGGTGTCGTAGATTTTCCTGTTCTGGGCACCTATGATCCGTTTCTCGTTGGGTAAATAAATTCAAATAAAATTTGTTTACTGCCTTTTTTTTGGGTTTTGTTTTTCATTTTAATTTTTGGAGGCCAGGTTTCTAAATTTGGATTGAATTTCTAAAATATTTGATGAAATTTCTATGTTGGGTATTTACTATTTAAATGAAATTTATCATTTTCTTTAGTCTCCTATCTGTTCTTCATTTTGGTAAAGTTGTTTAGTGTATATTTTTCTTTTTCCCTTGTAACTAGTCTTCCTTTTCCTTTAGAATTCATTAATCATATTTTACAAATAGTCTCCCCCTTCTTTTCTCTGATTTTGCTTTGGCTTTTTGCTACTTCCATCTTCATTTTTTTCTTTTAATTTACTGATTTATTTTTTATTTTTTGTTAGGCTATATTATACCAAAATACAGTTAGGTTCTCCTCCAAGAGAATTTTATGTACAGATTGATACAGGAAGTGATGTTTTATGGATAGGGTGCAATTCCTGCAATGGTTGTCCTCAAACTAGTGGACTTAAAGTAAATTTCGCTTTTCCTTGTATATTTCTTATTGTTTTTCTCAGTTGTATTGTTATTTGAAAGAACAAAAAGATTTGAGCGACTGTGTTTTTCTTACAGATTGAACTTAATTTGTTTGATCCTGGAAGCTCGTCAACAGCTTCACCAGTCCCATGTTCGGACCCAAGATGTCGAGCAGATCTCCAATCATCGGATTCTGGCTGTTCGAGCCAGACCAATCAGTGCAGTTACTCATTTCAGTATGGAGATGGTAGTGGGACATCGGGCTATTATGTAGCTGATTTGTTGCATTTTAATTCAATTCTCGAGGGATCTATGACTAATAATTCTACGGCACCTATTATGTTCGGGTGAGCAGTGTAGTCCTTCGATGTTGCGATGCTAATCATGTTGTTATGAATTTGTTTGATTTTGAAAGTGGAATCTGTTGGCTTAAAAGGTCATGGATTGTGAAACAGGTGTAGTGTGTTGGAGACAGGGGACTTGACAAAGTCCGATAGAGCGGTTGATGGAATCTTTGGGTTCGGGCAGCAGAGTTTGTCTGTAATTTCTCAACTTTCTTCACAGGGAATAACACCTAGAGTGTTTTCCCACTGCTTGAAAGGGAATAATGGTGGTGGAGGTGTGCTTGTTTTTGGTGAGATCGTGGAGCCAACTATCATTTATACGCCACTTGTCCCATCACAGTATGTGCTCTTTTCTTTGGAAGATATTCTTACTGTCTCTTTCTCGTTTTATCTCATCATAGCTGGACTCGTAACTCTGGTTTTTCATCTGTCATTTAGATTCGTAGTCCCTGCATATAAATATTGTTCATCATCGGAACATATAAGGTTTCATAGGCTATTTGATTAACCAGTCTTGCACCACAAAATTTCAGGCCCCACTATAATCTTGATCTGCGAAGCATTTCAGTTGGTGGACAAGTTTTATCAATAAAACCATCAGTGTTTTCAACATCGAGCAGCCAAGGAACAATAATTGATTCCGGGACAACTTTGGCATACCTAGCCGAGGAAGCTTATGATGCTTTCATGAATGCTGTAAGTGTCGACCAAGGTTTTACTGATACTCGGACATCATTAAGGGGATCGATCATCACTAAAAAAAAGCTTTTTGCCTGCTATTCTTGTCTTTCTGGTATGAATTTGTATATCTCGAATTTAATGATTGAGGGTTCTCTTGTTGTGCAGATCACAAACACTGTTTCACAAACCGTGCGCCCTGTTCTTTCCAAAGGAAATCAATGCTACTTAATAACCTCCAGGTTGACTACCCACTGATATTATTTCATTGACTGTCGATCTTCAAAGATGATTGTAACTCGTATGCATAACTGACGTTATGTTAACATTCTGTTCAGCGTCAATGATATATTCCCTCAAGTTAGTCTGAACTTTGCTGGTGGTGCGTCCTTGATTTTAAATCTGCAGGACTATCTTGTACAGCAGAATTCTATCGTGAGTCAAAGCTTTGGACATGCGTACATAGATTAGTATCTCTTCTGTAGTATTTTCTTTCCCTATTAATATTATATGATATAGGGCTTGTCTTGTTTTCGTCATTCGAACTAGCTGCTGTTTATTATCTTTATTTACTGCTTTAACCTAATCATTGGCCAATGTATAAAATTTAGCTTTAGTCTGAATGAACTTCCTTGTATACTGTGTTGTGTTATTTTTTTTTCATATCCAAATTTCTGAATGAGAAATGGGCGTCTTTGATATTTACAGGGTGCTGCTGCAGCCTGGTGCATTGGCTTTCAGAAAATCCAGGGTCAAGGGATAACAATTTTAGGAGGTATTTTCTCGGTACTGAATGTTTCAATCGATTACGTTATATGCTTGTTTGGAGACTTGATGAATTTCCGGATTTCTATAGTGTTTAATTAAAAAAAAATCAGATCAAGAGATGTTTATAGGTCTAAAATCTGATTGAGACAGTTATTTGTAGGTCTAATAACATTACCTTTATGCATGAAATTTGTGTGTTTTGATCACTTAGCTGGTTGTTTTTTGCCTGTACGACGAATGCAGCAAGCCATAAATATTTCCCTTTTCTTTTCGGTTGCAGATCTTGTTCTAAAAGACAAAATCTTTGTTTATGATTTGGCAAATCAACGGATCGGATGGACCAACTATGACTGTAAGTGTGATAAGCATCTAAGATTTTACTTTACCATACAGAGGCATCTGATGATCTAGAGTGCAATCGGACTCTAAATCTGCTGCATTGTGTATTATGATTAGGTTCAATGTCAGTCAACGTCTCAACAAATGTTGACACAGCAAGAACTGAATTTGTAAACGCGGGGCAGATGAGCAATGATGGTCCATTGCAGGATCAAACACGAAGCATGATCGCTTTACTTCTACCCATAATCGCGATAACTGATCTACTGCTCTTGTAGCATATGTTGAAAGGATTGGGAGCTCAACACCCACATAGCACATGTTCTCACCAATAGGCCGTTTCCAGTTGAACCACACGGCTAGCTTGTGGTCAGTTGATGGATGTATAATACAATTTTTGGGGGTTATTTTCAAGGCTCTGTTACTGTAATCGTGTAAAATTACAGATGTCGGTGATTTACTGTGATTAACTATGTATCTTTATATTCATATACGGTCCATTTTGGCAGCAAAATTTGATTTATTATACCTTGAATTTGTAACTTTAAGCAGATAACAAGAATGCAAGAAACTTTGTTTTGCTGGAACCAAATCTTTATATAAAAATGGCAACGATGACTGAAAAATATTTAGAATGGTGCAGTAAAGCAAATTTTGTAAGAACATATGTTCATTGAACATTTCATGCGTGATTCAAAGGATAATTGTCTACACTGAATCTTAAGAGCAGAATGACTGGAAATCTGTCCCCTGTAGATCTTGACATGTACTATAACTAAACCACCCACATCCAGAATTCACATACTAAAACGAATCTGTAATTTCAAGGGTTAGAAGTTTACTCGGCAGTAGAACATTACTTCCTTCACATTTTCTTTGATGCTGGGCAGGGGACGAACCTCGGCATTCTGGTCCTTTGGTTTTCGGCTTCCACCCATAGAGCCACTGGCCGACATCTCTTCTTCGACATAACACCGTGCCCTAAAAGCATCTAGATGAGCATAATAAGCTGGCGGCACTGCAAATTTAAACAAAATTTTAACTGACTACCTTACATTAGAATTAAGTACAAATTTAAGAAAAAAGAAAGATCACTAACCTATGGAAACCGATCTAGTACACCTTGCATACCTAGATGAGGGAAATAATTAGCTACGAGTGTACTCTGAGCATTATTTATTTACAGTAGTTAAAGATTAAAGAGGAAGTAATAAATACATACGTATAACATAAATTGTAGGTGAGCGTCTGCAAACTGTCTGCACTGAACCCGTTTTCATCATACAGGACATGATAATGGGTGGGCTTGCTGGTTCCCTGCACAAGAAAAATAATTGAATACATTTAGAATCAGAAAATGAAATGAAAATAGGGCTAAAAAGATCAAGGCGAGCCGCAGTTTATCTGAACCCCAGAGATAAAAATCAAACTCAGTGGGGTGACAAATCTTGGTGTCCACAACAGTACCTGCAAGGCGGTAAGATAATGGATTATGCTGGTGTACAGTTATTAGAGTATTTGATTATTTGTGCTGTTGTTCAATTATGGAACATTTGTTACCTGGCAAGACATTGCCACTCTTATCAGTTTTACTACGGTCATTGTGGTTAGTAGGAAATAAGCGACTATTATGCCTCTTCTGAACCACAACAAACGTAACTGGTGGTGAATATTTTTCACCGAATGAGGCATAGCCTGGAGGAAGGAAGAAAATTAGAAGTGTCAGAAGCCTAAACACCAAAAAGTAGCCAACTTTATTTACTCTATTATCACCAAATCTCTTCATACGCTGCTGTTGACATATAGGATTTACTCAAAAACTTATGGAAGCTACTTTGTCCAAGAAATAGAACTGTGCTACAAGACACCACAAAAGATAACCCTTTGAATACCTTACGAATAGAATCCATTTCATGGAGTAAAAGTTTACTGAATTGACCTTCACTCACACCATCTCTGCCAGATTAAGTAACAATTCTCAGAAACAAAGCTAAAAAAGAACAAGGAATTGGATATAGTCAGAAACAATATTAACCTGTAGAAAATCATCCTTTTAGCTGTTTGTTTGTTTTCCATTTGTTATAACTTTTTATTATATAAATAGATTGTTTATTTTTAAAATAGATTCAAATCCATTCTAGTTATTTAGTATTAAATTTTTTCATTTTATTGAAAATGTAACTAATATCTTGTTGATATCAGCTAGTGGGATGAGGCATGCATCGTATTATTGTAATAAAAAGGGGGTGAATAGATCCACTAGTGGGATGACCTTGCTTACGGTGGCTGGAGCTATCGGCATGCATCGGATTATTTTAGCTGATATGATATATGGCGATGGGAATTGGTAGTGGTCACAATTTGAGCATTTGCTTCCACCGGATATCTTGTTGCGAATCGCTGCAAAAAAGGGTCCTCTGGTTAACTTGGCAGATGACTCGATTGGGTGGAGTCTTAATGTCGATCTCCGTTTCTCGGTTAAGTTGGCGTGTGAGCTTCATACTGTTGATCCGTATAGCTTTATTCTAGGAAGCACGGGGACGGCTGGGGTTCGTACCGGGGACGTGCCACGGTGGTAGGGTACGGTTGAACGACGCCGGGGACGTTTCACCGAGTTCTGGGGACGTTTCGGGGACGGCATGTGACTTTCACATGCGTCCCCAGGATATTTTCACCATTTTACAATTAAAAAAAGAAAAGCAAAACCTAATTTGAGGCTGGAGCTTTCGGCAAGAATACAAAACCTAGTATTAGAGCTTTCGGCAGCAATTGCTTCTGCTTCTTGAGCTTTTTGACAGCAATGGGGAGCAACTGCTTCTGCTTCTTTTACCAACCAAGTACATTGCTGGGATAAACTTGAACAAGCTAGATTTTTCTGCTGCTCTTTTGCTGTAAGTATTTCAAGATCTAGCTGTATCTTTTTTGTACCAATATCTTCAGACTTCAGGCTTCAGTTGGGTTCTCAAGTGTTGCATCATGAACTATTAGTGATAAGGCAATTTGGAATCCAATTTTGTTGCATTATGTTATTGTTCTCCATAAACAATCCTCACCCTCAAATGGTTGCTACAAAAACTTAAAAAGGGAATTTATAACTTTTCCTTTTTTTAATATTTTAGTTTCAAGGAGATTTAGAACTTAGAAATATTCTGTTTCTTTTTCACTTTAACAGCATGCATGTTCTGAAGGTATAAAGCTACGGATAGAATTTATAAATATTCACGACTCACGAGCCTGCGCACCACACACTATTGCGTATTAAACAACTGAATGATGGAGCATATATATAATTATAAATACGTGTGTATGTATTGGAACTATCCAGATTCTTTTTTTTGTAACTTTTGATGCAATGTCTTGTATAAATTCAAGGTTACATGACTACTCAATAGATATTAGTTGCTTTCTATACGTGTGTATGTATTGGAACTATCCAGATTCTTTTTTTTGTAACTTTTGATGCAATGTCTTGTATAACTTCAAGGTTACATGACTACTCAATAGATATTAGTTGCTTTCTATACGTGTGTATGTATTGGAACTATCCAGATTCTTTTTTTTGTAACTTTTGATGCAATGTCTTGTATAACTTCAAGGTTACATGACTACTCAATACACATTAGTTGCTTTCTATGTTGGTTTTCTTTTTTTCTAGTAGTAGCAATTTTGATTTATCAAGAACAAAAAAATAGAGTATAAAAAATTTCATATTCGAAATAGGATAGAACGAAATTCATTTTTCGGGGATCTTTTTTCAATTCAAAGCAAAAATAGATTGATGGTTGCTTATTACGTGGTTATTAAGAGAGTTTAACTATATCATTATTGCCATTTTCTGCCAAATAATGTACTTAGAGCACGGTTATTAAAGAGAGTTAAACTCGATTGATGCTGCTTATTACATGGTTATCATTTTATAATGTACTTAGAGCATATTAGACATTACCGGGAATGTTTGAAATTTGAATGGAAAATGTAGTGAATGAAGCAATGATTGGAGAAGTAAATAAAAGCTTCATTTTTTATAAAAAATTGTATCAGTTATTCTAAAATATTATTATTTAATACATAAATTATATAAAATAAATTTTACATGAGTTATTTAATAGTAGTCTGTATGTAACTTATATTCACATATCTTTTCACCTTTTATATTCGCCTTTTATATTTGCATGTTTTGTTTTCAATTACATTCAATATTCGCCTTTTATATTTGCATGTTTTGTTTTCAATTACATTCAATTGATGCATGATATTTAAACTCATTTAATTTTTTTATGTAAACATGTTAATTTAGTATAAATATGGCATCTCAAAGTGGTAGTGGGACTGAAAGTAATAGTGGGAGCGAGTCAATTTCAACGTCCCAAAATGAGAATTTATCTCCATTGTGGAATTATGTGACAAAGATAGAAAAACGAGAGACTGTTGGAGGAACTTGGAATTTTCGTTGCAACATTTGCGGCGAAACTCGTAATGGAAGCTATACTAGGATAAAGGCACATTTGCTTCAAATTCGAGGTGAAGGAGTTGCAATTTGCAAAAAGGTAACTAGAAATCAAAAACTTGAAATGGTAAGGTTGGTAGAAGAGTGGGAGAATAGAAAGAAACAAGAAGTAACTAGAGAAGTTTCTTTGCCCTCTCAATCTTCAGCTGGAATTGAGATTGATTCTTCTTCTAAGAAGAGAAAACCTAGCTTGTCACCTCTTGCTAGAGCATTTGACATGAATACAAGAGTCCAATTAGATGAAGAAATTGCAAGAATGTTCTACACCGGTGGTTTGCCCTTTAATCTTGCTAGAAATCCTCATTATCATAGGGCTTTCACTTTTGCTGCAACTCACAATATTCCTGGTTATGTTCCCCCTGGTTATAATAAATTGCGAACCACATTGCTCCAACAAGAAAAAAATAATGTTGAGAAGCTCTTGCAACCGATTAAAGCAACATGGAAAGAAAAAGGGTTAACTATTGTGTGTGATGGTTGGAGTGATCTAACAAGAAAGCCTCTCATTAATTTCATGGCTACTTCTGGAAATGGGCATATGTTTCTTAAAGCTGTGAATTGTTTTGGTGAAATCAAAGATAAGTTTTTCATTTCTAATTTGGTGAAAGAAGTGATTGATGAGGTTGGTCATCAAAATGTGGGGTAGATTATTACTGACAATACAACTAATTGCAAGGGGGCAGGAGAGATTATTGAGACCATGTATCCTCATATTTATTGAACACCATGTGTTGTCCATACACTTAATCTTGCCTTGAAGAATATTTGTTCAGCAAAAAAATGTCGAGGGAAATGAGGAAACATATGACTTATGCCATTGGATTACCGATATTCATGGGGATGCCGTACAAATCAAGAATTTCATCATGAACTACAACATGAGATTGGTAATCTTTCAAAGATTTAGTCCTCTTAGGTTACTTTCAGTTGCAGATACTCGTTTTGCTTCGATCATTGTGATGCTTAAGAGGTTTAAGCTCATCAAACAAGAACTTCAAGCAATGGTCATTAGCGATGAATGAAATTCTTATAGGGAGGATGACATGGTGAAAGTAAACTTTGTGAAAGAAAAGCTTGTGAGTGATGATTGGTGGGATAAAGTAGCTTACATCTTTGATTTTACAAAGCCCATCTATGACATGCTTAGAGTATGTGACACTGATAAGCCATGTCTTCATTTGGTATATGAGTTGTGGGATTCCATGATTGAGAAAGTGTAGTGTGAAATTTACAAGAAGGAAAAACGTCCTCTTTCAGACTTCAGTCCTTTTTATCATGTTGTTTATGGGATTCTTATAGCTCGTTGGACAAAGAGTTATACTCCTCTTCATTACCTAGCTCATTCACTAAATCCAAGGTACATACATAACTTTGTTAGTTTTGAATTTTATATTTTCAGCTCCTAGTTCTTTGATGCTATGTATAATTTTCTTTTTAATATGTTGAAGGTTTTATAGTGATAGTTGGCTAAGTGAGGATCCTTGTAGAGTTGCTCCTCATAGAGATGGTGAAATATCTTGAGAGAGAATGAAATGTTTTCGTAGGTTATTTCCAAATGATGATGATTATGACAAAGTCTTGGATGAATTTGCTTGTTTTTTCACTTAAGCTCGGGCCTTTTGAAGATTTGATGTCTCTTACAAAGAGGTATTCTTCGGATCCGAAAAGTTGGTGGGCTAACTTTGGTGCCAAAATTCCATTGCTTCAATCTTTGGCTTTCAAAGTGCTTGGAAAAGCTACTTCATCCTCTTGTTGTGAAAGAAATTGGAGCACTTATTCTTTTATTCACTCACTTAGGAGGAATAAGTTAAATTCGAGTTGCGCCGAAGATTTAGTTTACATCCACTACAATCTTCGTCTTTTATCAAGGAGTTCTAGTCAATATGAGGATGAGAAAACCAAGATGTGGGATGTTGGTGGAGATGCTTTTGATTCATTGGGAGATGTTGGATATTTAGAGTTTGCCGAACTCTCGCTTGATGAGTCGGATTTAGAGAGTCAGTTAATCTCAGAAGATGTTAACAATGTTTGATTTGAGTTTAATATTTTTCTAGACTTAATATTATGGTTTGAGTCTTAAGATTTGACACTTTAATATTATGATTTTATTATGGATTTTATTATTCTAGAGTTAATATTATGGTTTGAATCTTGAAATTTGACATTTTAATATTGTTGTTTGTTTATGGATTTTACTGCTATAAACTTAATATTGTTGTTTGAGTCTTGATATTTGACATTATTTATGATTTTTTATATATATTTATAATTTTAAATTATTTTATATGACGTACCCTTGCCGTCCCCGTACCCTGTAATTTTTAAAATTGTCGTTTCTCGTCCCCATCCCCGTATCCATCCCCGTATCCGTCCCCGTATCCATCCGTGCAACATAGGCTTTATTAATAATGTTTGGGTGAAGGATAATGAGTATCAAGGCCTGCAAAAATTAAACTCTTCTTATGGCTATGCTGTATTGAGCGTGTTTTGACAAATGCATAGAGGTTTCGTCGACACTTAACCACGAGTAGTGGTTATCCGATTTGTTGCGTCTGTGGAGGATGTTGATCATTTGTTGCGCCGTTGTTCTTCGGTAACTTTCATCTGGTCTGCGTTCGTACGGGATAATAAGCTCACTAAATTTTTGGAGATGAACTTGCATGAGTAGATGATTTTAAATTTGAGAGGTGTTGATTTTGTTGGTTATAGGGATCGTTAGGATATTTTCTTCAGTGCTCTTGTATGAAATATTTGGTTACAACACAACTCTATTTCGTTTGATTCTCCCCGGGATGATAATCGTTCGGTGATTGAACGAGTAAAGCAGTCTGGGAGTCCACTTGCCAGGCCTTAATGGAAGTGCAACTTATACAGACTGTTAAAAACATAAGCATATATTTGGGTAGAATTGCTTCATTTATTTCAACTTCTTAATTTACATCAAAAAGTCCTTATATACAAGTAACCTACTACAACTAACCAACTAACCGAAAGCTAACAAACTAACTAACAATAAATTGTACAGCTAAGCAAAAAATTAACCAACACTTTTATACACTCCTCCTCAAGTTGGTGGTTGAAAAACGTCTTTGAACACCAACTTGGAAACCAGATATTCATGTTGATGTACGCCCAAGGCTTTGGTCAACAAGTCTTCTTGTTACTCCCCTGTTCTTATTTGTTCAGTTTGTATTAGACCTTCTTGGATCTTTTCTCTAACAAAGTGACAATCTATTTCGATATGTTTAGTTTTCTCATGAAAAATCGGATTTGCTGCTATCTGCAAAGTTGCCTTGCTGTCACACATTAGCTTAGCTGGTTCCATATTCTTCAATCCCAATTATGCTAGCAAACCTCTTAACATATTATTTTAGCAGCTGCCCCTGCCATGCTTCTATACTCTGCTTCAGCAGAAGATCGAGCAACATTACTTTGTTTCTTAGACTTCCAAGAGATCAAGGACATTCCAAGTTTTATGCAAAAATCTGTTACAAATTTTTAGTCATTGGACAAGATGCCCAGTCAGAATCAAATCACAATAAGCAAACGATTTGCATTCACTCGCCGCACTTAATAAAATCCTCTGGCCAGGATTTTTCTTAATATATCTTACCACCCTTAATGCAGCTTCAAGATGATATTGCTTCGTTGATACATAAACTGACTTAGAAAATGTACTGCATAAGCAATAACCGACCTTGTGTGGGTAAGATATATCAATCTCTCTATGATCCTTTAAAAATAGACTTGTCTTGTAACAATTGCTTATCTTTACAATGTCCTCCATCATATTCAACTTTGGTGAGTTTCTTGTTTTTCTCTAATGGAGTCATAGCTGGTTTGACTCCCCCATCCCAGTTTCTTCAATTAATTTCATTGCATATTTTTGTTGATTCAACACAATAACTTCTTTTGACCTTAGAACCTCAAACCCTAGAAATATTTTAATTCTCCAAGGTCTTTCATTTTAAAGTTTTTAAAATATGCTTAAACTCCTCTATCATTGCTTCATTACTGCCAGTAATTAAAAGGTCTTCAACGTAAACAAGCAAAACCACTATACCACTCATGTGTTGTTTTGTGAACATAGAGTAATCATGCTTGCTTTTTATATAACCAACTGTAAGTAATGCTTTGTTAACTTCAAGTTCCACTGTCTAGAAGCTTGTTTCAACCCATAAAGGGATTTATGCATCCTATAAACCTTAAACTCCCCCTGGCTGCAAAATCCATCAGAAAGTTCCATATACACTTCTTCAACTAAGTCACCTTGTAAAAAAGCATTGTACACATCCATTTGATAGAGAGACCATTTAAAAAATAGAGGTAAGAACAAGTATAGTTTGAACAATTACTAACATAGCAACCAGAGAAAAGGTATCCACAAAATCAACACCTTCTTTTTAATTGAACCCTTTAACAACAAGGCGAGCTTTAAAACGATCAACATCCCCATTGGCCTTGTACTTGATTCTATATACCCACTTGTAGCCAATTGGAGTTTTACCTGAAGGCAGAGTAAATACAGACTAAGTGTGATTTGACTCCAAAGCAGCAATCTCTTCCTTCATGGCTTGGACCCAGTAGGGATTAGTAATGGCTTCAACATAGGTTTTAGGCTCAAGTAGATGAGAATTAGATGAAAGAAAACTTTGAATATTGGAAGGTAAATGAAAATAAGAAATTTGATTAGTAATAGGTATTTACTTGGAAGAAAAGAAGATTGGTAGGACTGAACATAATCATTGAGCCAATTAGGAGATTTGACAACCCTAGTAGATTTTCTCTGAGGCAGAAACTGATTTTCGAATGGAATAATAGGACTAGGAAGACTTGTTGAGACTTGAGGTGATGCAGAAGAAATATAAGAAAGCTGGTGATTTGAATAAGGAGCAAAATTTAGGTGAGGTGAAGTAGAACTGATCAGAGAGGAAGGCACAAAAACATTAAGATTAAGAAAATCATAATCAACAACAATAGGATGTTTAGGGGGAAAAGACTTATTCATGGAAAAGCAAAAGAAAACATTGTTTCATGAAAGACCACATCACGATTGTCAAAAAAAGTCTTTGTATGAAAGTAAGAGCAAATAACCCTTTTGAGTTGACGAATACACCATAAAGACAAAAGGTAAAACCTTAGGTGAGAATTTATCTTAATAATTAACCTGATTTGCATAAAAAGGCAACCAAACACTCTCAGATAAGAAAAATTAGGTGACTTGTGATAAAAACTTCAAAAGGGCTTTTCCAATTTAAGACAATTGTGGGAAGCCTATTGATGATATAACAAGCAGTTAAAACACACTCACCCCAGAATTTTATAGGTACATGAGACTGGAAACGAAGAACACGAGCTACTCCTAAGAAATGCTTATGTTTACGCTCTGCAACCCCATTATGCTGAGGTGTATGGACATATGAGCTTTGGTGAATGATTCCAAGGAAAAGAATAGCTCAGAACAATGATTACTAAAAAATTCACCACCATTATCGCTTCGAATATATTTAACCGAAGTAGAATAATGATTTTTAACAAGGGTAAAGATTGTTTTACAAAAATAATTGCATAATTCTTAAGCCTCAACAAATAAACCCAATACATTCTAGTATGATTGATAAGTGCTTAATTTAGTTAATATTTTACTTTAAATTACTCCTTAATCATTGGTTTTTATGGCTTAGTTTTAATTCATTTTTTGTTCAGGACGTCAGATCCTGGAAATTGCACGAAAAGGAAGGCATTCTGTAATTTTTTTATTATTTGGTCACGGCTGGAGACATGGGCACGACTCTGGGCATGACACAGTTTGATATGGCAGTTTCTAGAAGTCCAGTCAGCTTCTAGAAGAACAAATAGATCAACCTCACGTTTCTGCAATTCGGATTTGAATTAAAATCATGTTTTAGGATATTATTTTAATTTTATCTTTAGGAATTTTAGTTTAAAAAGTTTTAAGTATTTAATTAGGATTTAGGATATTTTTTTAATATATTTTATCTTATCTTTGTTTTAGGAATTTTAGTTTAAATAGTTTTAAGTGTTTTAATTAGGATTTAAGATATTATTTTATGAATTATCTTTAGCTTGTTTTTAGAAATTTGAAGGCTATAAATACCCTCTCAGGGTAAGCCTCGAAACATATCTCTCTCACCTGAGAATAAAATCTTATTTCTCTCTAGTTTTCTCTCTATTTTCTGCATACTTCCTTTATTTCTCTTTAAAATTTTGTTTTCAAATATGCTAAGTATGAATTTGGTCATGCTTAGCTAATTTTCTTTTAAGCCGAAGGCTAAAGCGAAGGCTCAATTCCAAACGTGAGAATTGTAACACTTAAATCGCTTCGATTTTTCTCTCTATTTTCTGAGCTTACTTTTCAAATCAAAATGATTTTCAAAACCAAAAGTTGATGTTGGTCTAGATGTTGTTATGGTTAACATTGGAAGAAAGATTGGCTTATTGAAGTATATTCGACTTCCCGAGAACACACTTGGTAAAATTTGTTTGCTAAGAGGAAACCGAGATGGAATCAATTATTATTGAAACAACATAATCCGAGTCGGCAACGAAGAATTGTCTTGTAAGCGATGTGAATCTTGGAGTAAAGATCTGTTTTGATGATACAAGGAATTTGAGACAAAACTCAAGTCTGAGGCTGCTTTTACCATAAGTTTTCTTTATCCCATTTTTTTATTTTTTGTTTATTTAATTTTTATCTAATTATATTTCTTTAAATAATCTAAAACCCTTTTTTATTTTTATTACTATTTTTAAATCATTATTTTTATTTTATTTTTAAATCATTATTTTATTTTATTTTATTTTATTCTATCTTTTCAATTTTATCTGGAATTTTATTTTCTTCTAAAATCAAGAAAGAGTTTTACTAAATCAGAAACACCACAGTCCCTGTGGATCGACCCTGCTTCTCTATACTATTTTTCCTTTCTATTTATTAAGAAGCCGAAATTATTTTGATAGCAAAACGACGGTTATCAAATTGGCGCTGTTGCAGGGATTAACGGCAAGTAC